AGTCAAAAAATTTACAGTTTCTAGTTAGCATATATTTTTTAGATTTTTTACTAAATTGAGATATGTAAAATTTATAATTTTCAAGATGCTTTAATAAAATTTTGAATTTATAAGGATGTTTTTGTAATTTAAAAAACTTGGAGAATATTTTTTATAAAGTCCAAAAACTTTTAGGTGCTTGCTAGCATATATTTTTTAGATTTATCTACGAACTAAAATAAGTAAAGGACTTGAATTATATGAAACGTATTTATTTTATCCAATAACATGTTAAGTCTCATTATGAATAGAATAAATCATTTGGTTACCAATTCAAAGAAGATAAGATAATTAGAATAGATTAAGATAACAATGTAATATTCAAAAAATCTAAAGGTAATATAGTTCATAGAAAGATTTTCCCGAACTCATGCTTTTAAAGGGAGTATGATATATATATATATATATATATATATATATATATATATATATAGAGAGAGAGAGAAATATTCAAAAAATCTAAAGGTAATATAGTTCATAGAAAGATTTTCCCGAACTCATGCTTTTAAAGGGAGTATGATATATATATATATATATATATATATATATATATATATATATATATATATATATATATATATATATATATATATATATATATATATATATATCATACTCCTTTTAAAAGTACGAGTTCGGAAAAATATTTCGGTAGACAAAAATACCCTTAGAATTCAAATATTATCCCATTAAGTAAGTGTAAGTTGATAAATTGATAAATTCTCATTGGATATACATAGTATGAAGATAATGATACAGTTTAAATTAAAATACAAATTTAAATAAAATTATTAAGTGTCAAATTTACAAATATCTACAAAATAAAGGGCGTATTTGCAAAAATCAAATAAATTAATGAGATAAATAATGTCTACCTCAAAGATCAAACATGTGAACAACGTAGACCTATAAATGTACATAATATGGATATGATATTTATAAAATCCACCAAACAAATTAAAGAGAAAATTAATTCTCAAAATTATAAAAAAAAGAAAAATTAAGGAAAACAAAAATCATACTCTCTTTAAAAACACGAGTTCGGAAAAAACTTTCCATAGTCAAAATTACTCTGTACTATTTTAAATATTTAATTAAATTATAATATATCCTAATCATACTTATATCGTATCCTAATACCCCATGAACTATTTATAGCTCAACAATTTAAATAAAATTAATAAAATATATAAAATAGCTCTGTAGTATCAGTTTATTACATAAAGTATTACAAAAAAACAAAAAATTTTAAAAATTAGACAAAATACTATCAAAAGTTTAAAATTACACAAAATAAAAAGCTAAAAATTTAGAACTTGGCAAATAAAAGAGTAATTATGTGATATTCTTTTATTAAGATATATAAATATAACTTATAATTTAAGGTTTACTATCCCTTTTCAGAATCTGAAAAATAGTCAAGTTGATACTAGTAAAAAAATAGTAATAATAACATATTATAATACCCTGTTAAAGAATAAAAGTTTAAAAAAATATATAACATATTAAAAATTAATGTTACTGTATAAATTAAAGTAACTGCATATAATTTTACCAATATGTTAGAGCAGCAAAAATACATAAGTATCATTAATTGATAGAAAACTAAATCACAAAAAACTGATAAAAGACTATAATATAATAGTTTAACATTAATTGATTATAATTTATAAATATTGATATCTAATGGTAATAATATTTATAAGGTAAAACTTATAAAGATTTTTGTATGGAGAACTATTAGAAAATTTAGAGATATCTTTCAAAAGAATCAAACGGTTTTCATTTCAAATGGAATTCGGAACGTCCATTAATCACTTCAATTAATACTAACATAAATTATATTTATGAAAGAAACACCGAATGAATACCCCTTGAAGAATATATTGAACAACTTTGTTTCAATCAAAGAAACATTCTTCATGGAAGATAAAAGAAAAATTACTATGTTATGACTCTGCATAAGGAAAAAATATAATATGTCAATTTTGTTTTTCTTATATAGTATCATGACCCTGCGAATGACTTTATTTAGGGGTATGAGTACTAACGAATGATCAATTCTTAAAGACACGATCAAAGATAATGATGTAATAGCACTATTAGAATTCAAGATCTCTAAATATGAAGATAGTATATCTTATTACTAAAATTCTTATTAAATGCCACTAAATATAAAATCTATCATATATTTGTCTCAAATTTATAGAGGATATATGCATGTCATCGTAAATTATGTCAATAATATATATCAGTCCAAATATACAACTTACTAAAAAATAAGAGAATAGTAAGTAAACCAAGCAGACATCTATATAACATCATAAAGAAAAAATATTACATTTTAAAGTTAATATGCAGCGTTCTTTTAGAGTAAGCTGCCAAGAGGAAAGCATCTCCATTAAGGCTATTTATAAATGCAGCAGAAATTCAAATTACTAATATATATAACCATTATAACATTTGAAAGATGTATGATCTTAGAAAACCTATTCTAAAATTCATACAACTAAACCTAAGAATAATTTACCAATATACAGACACACTATCGCACCTTAAAGCCAACAATAACTACCATTTATAACAGAGTTGAACAATAATTCTATGTTTGCAAAGGTTGCAACAAGAAAGTGGATAGAGATATTAATAATAAGTGTCCAGATGATAAATGTTGTAGATTCGCCAATGATGTAGTGCCAATGTTAAGTGATATCCCTTCTTCATAAAATAAATATATTAAAATTAAATATTAATATTATAATTTAAAACAAATTAACAATGAAAAATATAATGTATTTAGTTCAAATCCTCATGAAAAATGACACAGACAGAGCAAATGTAACACTATGACATAGCAGAATTCTTATTGGATGCACAACAGAAAAATTCATTGCAGAGAAAAAAGAGGTAACTCCTAACCTTATTTAAGTAATAAATTAAAAGCACAAAAAAATCATATATATAAAATTAACAATTATTCTTATTGAAATAGGAAAAAATCATAGTCCGTATTGTCAGAAGTTTGTGTCGAACATAGGAAATATATTCAACTTCTTTGTGAATTTTGACCATCTCCAACCACCCTCCAAAACTCCAAAATCTCCAAATTTGGAGAGTGGAACTTCTCCAACCACTCTCCAAATTTGGAGATCTCCAAATTTGACCCTCCAAATTTGGAGGGTGGGGAGAAATTTTGGAGGGTCTCTCCATAACCCTATTCATGATTTTTTATTTACAATTTTGCCATTTTTAACTATTTGATTTCTTAAAATTTACTACTTTGCCACCCTTCTTAGTAATTTAAATTAGATGTTTAATTTCAAATAAATATAGTTAAAAAATTATTAATCTAATATTTGAAATCATTATATATTTGGAAAGGACTCGTTGAGATCTTTAAAATGAAACTAAGATTAATTTATTTTAGTATTATTATAAAATTATTAATTTTTAAATTAAATAAATAAGTATCAGACATGAAATTTAAAATACGGGGATCTATTTAACTCGCTCCATAAAAAAGTACAAGCATAAATTACAATATTTAAATTACATTCCTTCATTGCCGTGCTTCTGCCATAAATGTTCAATTAGTGTGTTTCGAAGCATAAAATGAGCTTCCCTATCTTGAATCTTCCTATGCGGGCGAAGCTGGTTCTGTAGGAAGAAATGAATATGTTTGCGACTTATAGTATGTTGTATTAGAGGTTAATATTTGCTTTCTTGTTCTATCGATGTATGCTTTCACTGTTATTTTAGAATTTCTTCTTTTATGATATGTTGTATTGCAGTATTAATATTGGGTTTATTTTAAAGCTCTCATCGACACCTTTATAATGTTATAAATTTTTTTTCCAAAATAAATTATTAACAATGAAGTAAACTATATCCAACATTCTTTAATTTATATGGCTTCTTTGACAAAAAAAATAAAAAGAAAAATATTTGGAGGGTGTGGGTTGGAGCAACCCTCCAAATTTCACCCTCCAAATTGGAATATTCCTAGAATATTCCAATTTGGAGGGCCAAATTTGGAGGGTATGGTTGGAGATGCTCTAAGGAAAGATAACATACTCTAGTCTCATATCACAGTCGATGTAGACGATGAAGACACTACTCTAGAATTGCCCAGGAAAAAGATAAAGATGAAGTAGGATTGATCTCAACTCAATAAAAAATAAAATACAAGCAACAAAAGATAATATTTAGTGAATTGTTATAGAATAGTTTTTTTAGTAAATTAGTAATCTTTAGAAAGGATTTTCATAAACTGTTTTTAGTGCTTTCACATGCATATGTCGATACTTTTATCATATAAAAATGTAGTAGAGTTAACATTAATCTTTAGTTTATGAATTTTTTCATTAACTATTTTTTTCATTTTAACCCACATTAAATCTATCATTTTGGCTCGTTGGTTTTATTATTCATCTTCCTTTTATACTTTTATTTTTTTCAAGTGTTTTCACTTTCATAACACATACTTCCTCAGGTCAAGCTCGGTTTCATACCGATCCAAATGAAATGAAAAATTAAATTAGCTTTAGATTATATTTATCTCCTAACAATTCAACTATCAACATAAAAATTTAAACTGGGTGTAACCTACTCAAAGAAACATCAAATAAATATATAATCAAATTGTAATCTAGGAATAAATTTTAGTAAGAAAATAAACCAAAAATACTTAATCAAAGTGAGCAAAAAATATCAAAGAGTAACCTAGGAATAAGTTTTAGTAAGAAAATAAAACAAAAATACATAATCACAGTAGTTAACCATGTACATTGCACGTGCATAAACTCTAGTGTGTGTGTGTGTGTGTGTGTGTGTATATATATATAATTCTAATGAGTCACCTTAGATTGAATCTAAAGATGCAACTCTCGATACATGGATTGGGCTATTCTAATGAACAATCTACTCCATTCATCATGATTTAAATGTTTTAAAAAAATCTATAATACAAAAATCATGATATTTCAATACTTCTAACATACATATATAATCTTTTGGAGTCATGTGAAAGAGAGGTTGTCGAAGATACACACACTGCAAAATTACAAATGATGGTATAATAGACAATTACATAACACACAAGTTTTGTTCGATAAAGGGTTTGCAAAGTTAAAACTGTCACAGCAAATGCTAAGGAAACGAAATTACAGTTGGTTGGAAAATCGCTTTGGACTGTCCGCAGGTAGATTTCTCAACAACAATTGGCATTTTTCCTCTCCAGTTTAATTGCTTCATAGGACGCCATCACTTCTTTAAATTTTGCCTCTGCAACCTCTGCAACAGAAAATATGACAAATTTCTCTCTTATACGGAAAAATGAAGTAGACCTTTTTGGCATGGAATGCTATAATATCAATAAATCTCCGGGATACACCAAAAGGACCAATGCACCACTCACCTATATTATCCTTGTTCTGATCTGGGTGGTATTTCATAGCTATTACTCTGAAAGCAGTCTGTATAGCAAAATAGGAGATGATACAAGACAAAGTTCCCTCAGTCTAAAGATAAATAGGATTATGTGGTACTACACACTGTTATATGGCCAAAAAGCTTACAAAGTCAGATAGTTTTTAATCATCAAAAGAAAAAGAACATTAATGAACATCAGTTACTAGAAACAAATACCTTGATTTCTGCCTCTGTGTATGGTTTTGCTCTTGACCTATCGAAGAAGAAGAAATTATAAGTCAAACCTGTTACATCCAATAGGAATAAACAAGATTATTGCAAAAAATAAACAATTGGGTTTTTCCTGGAAACCAGGTTGTCATATAGAAACCACCTTTCATTCTCAATTTGTATGTAAACCATCTTAAAGTGGGTTTTTATTCCATCCAACCACCTCCTAGTCAACATTTACACTGAAAATCTAAAAATACCTTTAAAAACTCACATTCAAGACATATGACTCACTTTGTTAATATTTAGCTATAGTTAGGACATAAGTCACGTACCTTACACATGAATTTTAAGGTTATTTTCAGTTTTTTAATGAAAATTTGACCAAAAGGTGGTTGTTTGGGGAAAATACCCCACTATAAAGGTGGTTTATGTATAAATTGAAAATGAAAGATGGTTTTTGTATAATGACCCTATTTTAAGGTGGTTTCCAGGAAAAACCCAAAATAATAACAGGCTAGATTGCTTCCTGGAAATAGACAAAAACAAAAACAATCATAATCATATGAAACACCCAGGATATATCAAAGCTTATTAAAAGCAATGAGTAAATAATAGCAAGTGGCACATTTCAAACAGCTTTATGGTCCTCATTATCCCACAACAAGAGAGGGAGAGAGGGAGGGGGACAAGCAAACAGATAACATCATCTGGAGACTGTTTTCATATCTGGCTATCAAACACCAGGAGCACTAATTCCCTATGTGATGGGAATCCATGGAGTATATTCCAGGAGAAAGAAACATGTGATTGATTCTAGAGGATATTGATTGATTCTGGATGATATTGATTGATTCTGGATATATTCGTCATGATCCTGGAGATTTTAATTGATTGGATTTTATATTAGTTTTAATTTTTGCAAAGATTTGAGCATGATTTAGGGTTTTGATTTGATTTGTTATGGTTATAAATAATGATGTAATGCCTCAGTGATAGACAAACTATTTTGATATGATAATTCTGAGTTTTTAAATTAGCATGTGAATTGCTATGAGAGTGTGAAGCCCGAAAGTGAAGCTCATTTTTATTGTTTTAATCAAATCACAGCATTTTGTTATACCCTGAACTCATATCTAACCCTCCACTCAAATAAAACCCTACCTCAATTCAAAACCTGCTGTTCTGTTCACGTGAACAGAAACCCGTAACTATTCACATCCTGCGCCAACCACTGTCCATGCGATCTTGCGCCATCTTGGACACCGGCTCCAGTTACTGTTCACGCATTGCATCCGCCTACTGTTCACGTGAACAGGTCTCCAACGGAGTTTTCATAACCTAAACTTCCTAGACATATTTAATTGCGAGTTTATTTCAGATCTAAGTTGATTGCTTTGTGGATTAATTGTCTCTTTGCTTATAAGTGTGTGGTAAACCCAAATCCAAGTTGTTGGGGCTAGTTGGTTCTTCAATTTTGAGGACTAATTCACCAACTTTGTAAGCCTTTCAGCTCAGTCCTGATTCGGATCTTTAATAGTGTGGGTGTTAGTTCCTAACACCCCTCAGGTGAACTCTAAACAGGATATCAATTTCCTATTGACTATCTTGCAATCCCTTGAGAGTTGTAGGGACTTCATAATTATATTGAGATTGATATTTCTGTGATTCCTTGCATGATTCATCACCATTATCATTTGTTTCAACTGATTCATCACCATTTAATTGTTTGAGTCTATATTCATACAAAACTACTAGATTATTGTACAATTGTAATCTTTTGTTTCAACTGATTTTTCTTTCTTAGATATTTTTACTAGCAAAAACTGTTTAAGATTGCTAACATTTTTAGTATTATTAGGATTTTTCTTTCTTAGATATTTTTACTAGCAAAAACTGTTTAAGATTGCTAACATTTTTAGTATTATTAGAAAGTACATTAGATTTTGAATTGATTGGAAAAAACTATGTATCTGTATATATAGACACACACACATTAAATTCCATGTCTTAACTGTAAAATTTTTAACTTGTTGAATAGATAATGGACGCATGGTTCCAATTTCAACACACATGTAATATTGCGGTTGGATATGCTATTTGCTTATTTGCTTATTGGTTCGTGTATCGAAGAGATAAGATTAGGAGATTAAATATTGACCCTCAAGAACCTAAAGAAGTAAGAGATTGTGTGAGAAATAATGTCTCAAAGAGTTATATATCGTGAAATGATTCGAATGAATCCACCAGCTTTTAACCAATTATGCGAAATATTAGAGATGAATGGTGGGCTTAAACCAACTCGAAGGGCTACTATTGAAGAACAAGTTGCAAAATTTTTATACATGTTGGGACACAGTGTAACAACTCGTGAAGTAACATATTTGGACGATCTGGAGACAGTGTGAGTCGTCATTTTCATAATGTTCTAAGAGCTATGATAGAGTTGGAGGAAATGTTTTTTGTACAACCCGATGGATCACAAGTTCCTTCGGAGATACTCACCAATTCAAAGTTCTATCCCTATTTCAAGGTGATGATATCTTCCTTCACATCTAATCTTGTATAGTTTGTTATTTATTAGATTTTAATTAATGTTTATGACATCAGGATTGTGTCGGGGCAATTGATGGCACACATATTCGAGTAAAAGTTTCTCCTCGAGACGTCCCTAGATATCGTTGTAGGAAAGACTATCTCACACAAAATGTGTTGGTCGCATGCACGTTTGACTTGAAATTCACTTACGTTTTGTCTGGATGGGAAGGAACTGCATCTGATTCCAGAATTATTAAAAATGGTTTACAAAGGCGATTTCCACTTAAGATTCCTCAAGGTAATTAAAAACTAAAGAAAAGCCTAAAATTGTGTCTTTGTAATAAGCTACTAATCAAAATGAACTTGTTTTATAGGAAAATATTATCTGGTTGATGCTGGATTCATGTTACGAAGTGGATTACTTCCACCCTATAGAGGGGAACGCTATCATTTGAAAGAGTATTCTAGAAATCCACCAAAGAATCCACGCGAGTTATTTAATCTAAGACATGCATCACTTTGGAATGCCATTGAAAGATTATTTGGTATCTTGAAAAAAGATTTCTCATTATAGCAAGTTCAAATGAACCAAACTACAGTGTTAAAACACAAAAAAAGATCATTTTAGCCTGTTGTATTTTGCATAATTTTTTAAGGGGAGTCGATCCAGATGATGAATTTCAGGAAGGGGATGAGCAACATAATGAAAATCAATTTGAAGAAGATGATGTAGATGAGGACGAAGATGTTCGTAGAGGGGAGTGGAAAAGAGATGGCATCGCAGTTGCTATGTGGCAAGATTACCATCGATAATTTGTTTTAGTTATGCTTATTGTTTGTTTGATTTGTACTCTTTACTTGGGTTATCTTCTTCATTTGTGTTGTACTTGATAAGTGTTAGACTAATATCATTTTAATTCGGTAGCATGAATGTTAGTTTATTTATTGTGATCTCATGTCATCTCTCATTGATAGTTTTCAATTATTGAATTGTGAATAATTAATTCCTTCTAACATTATTTTATTGTGTGAATTAAAGGATGTCGAAAAGAAGGAATGTGGAAGGTGATTCTTCTCGCCGTAGGAATGCTAATGTTTTGATATGGACTCATAATATGGAAGATAAGCTAATTGATGCTTACTTGAATCAACATGTAATGGGAAACCGATTTGATGGGAATTTTACATCAACGACTTATAATGAAATAGCAGCCGAACTTAAAGAAAGCTTTCCCGATAAGCCATTTGATAAGGAAAAAGTAAAGAATCGCATGAAATATATGAAGACAAAATGGACAGTTTGTTATGATTTATTTAAGAATGTTGGAAGTGGTTTTGCTTGGAATCGAAGCACGGGTTTGTGGAGTACGGAACCTGAGGTTTGGGAAGACTAATCGAGGTAAAATTACACAATCTTTATTTTTTATCGCATTAATACCATTTATTAGAAGGATTATCATTGTAGTGTGGAACCTGATTTTAGTTTCAGCATTGTGCTGAAACTGAGATTCAGTTTCAGCATTGTGCTGAAACTGAAACCTGAAATCAGGTTTCAGCAGTGTGCTAAAACCTAATTTCATGTTTCAGTTTCAGCACACTGCTGAAACTGAAACATATCAGGTTAGCAATGTGCTGAAACTAATACTGAAATTCCATTTCAGCTTCAAGTTTTCTGAAACTTTTTCTCCCTTGAAAAGTTGAGCTAAAATTTGGTGCAAATCTGTTTCAGGCTCACCCAGAAGCTGCTGAATGGAGGACCAAGTCTATCCGAAACTATGATAGACTATTGGAGCTTTTTGCAGCTGATAGAGCAAATGGAGAACTTGCTGAAACTGCGGCTGAGATATGAGAAAGGAGGAGGGATTTTAGTGCAAGCAATGGCTTTGATTCTCATACAATTGACGACATCGATGATATGGTTTCTCGAAATGAAATTTTGTTAGAGAATTTCGATAGGATTAATGATGAGGACCCAAATGACAACAATGATGAACATGTGATTACCCCTGAAACCAAATCAACTGCAAATTCACAAAAGAAAACTAGAAAATCGAAGGACGAAATTTCTATTGTTGATCAGGAGGTGATAAAGGGTATGCAGAGGATAGCTGAGGCAATTGAATCCACTGGTGATAAATACATACAAGCTCTTGAACGTGCTCCAATGAAAAGTAGTTATGTTTGGAACCATTTGCTTGAACTTGGTGTTAAGACTGCTCAAATTAAACAAGCGTATCTTTTCCTAACTAAGCATCCAGAGGATCTAAAAGCTTTGCTTGGATGTCCATTTGAAGAGCGCAAGGAACTTCTTATGATGATGTTATCTTGAGAATCTATTGTTATTTATTTTTGTAAGTTGTATTGCCGAATTTGATTATCTGTGGCAATTACAAACTTGTTTGTTTTTGTGTTGCTTATGGCAAAACTTAGTATGAATGTGGTCATATTTTGCTAGAAACATGTGCTAATTGCAAAACTTTGATTTTATGAATTATGTTCCTTTTTTATGTAAGTTGTTTTTGCCTATTGTTTATGGAAATATGTGTTGATAGTGGATATACAATGTGAAAGGAGATGATGACAAGCACAAACTTTTCATTTTCATCTTTTTATGCATTTCACTTTTTTTAACCCTTGCGGATGTAATCTTTACAGGAAGACGATCACATTCCTTGCACCTTGTGCTGTTGAACTTCCAAGCAAGTTTTTGATTGTAGGAACATTGAATTGGTTGGAGAGCTAATATTATTGACTGATGATCACTTCACTTTTATGGAGTTGGATTTGTTCATGTTGTAGCATGTATATCTATTAATTGCTATTTATATGTTGCCATAAGTGCAATATGGAACATTATATAGCTCTGATTTGTGTTTATAGTGGATATACAATGTGGAAGGAGATGATGACAATAATAATATATTGCAATAGATGCATATTTGATATTTAATTTCTAACAACAATATAACTTAATAATATGTGAGGGTATTTTTGTCAATTTATATACATTCCATTCCATTCCCCTCCCGTTATTACACTTTCCAAACGGAGTAAAATAACTTCCTCTTGATTCACCTTACTAATTTCCCAAACAAGTTTTAGAAATTCTCTTCCCTTCCCTTAACTTAACTGCCCCTGGGTTCCCCTAACTTCCCTCCACCCCCTCCAAATCCAAACAAGCCCTTAGATTCAAGTTTTTCTTTAAAAGAAGGATAACCTACATATTATTTCTGATTTGAACAGATACAACAGCTTTCTGGGAGTGTTCATGCTGCATCGAAAAATTGGCAATCTGCCAGGCTAACTGTTTTGATAACCAGTTATGAATTATTCCCCTCAAAATAAGCTACATATTTGAATCCGACTACAAAATCTACAGTTCATCAGGGTGTGTGTATAATTGCAGTGAAGATGACATTATGCAAAAAGTGATCATACAACATAAATAGAAGTGTTGAGCTAATCTCTAGGGCTGCTTACATAAATCCCTAGTCATAGATTCATAATTATGACCTTTTTTCTTTTTTTGCGAGGTCAATAATTATACTTTACAAACATCCATTTTCTATTTGAAGAAAATAAAAGCGAAAGATAATACTTTCTGCGAAAAAGAAGCAATCTGTTTATAATTACCTGTCAAGACCCAAGACTGAGTAATGATGTGACATTGAGTAATTCCCGGTATTTGTAGGAGTGGACCAGTAATTTGTTCTTTGGTCTCTGTAAGACGTATCTGTATGCCAGTACCAGTCATCTCTTTGATAATGCTGATACGCACCAGGGCCATATTCCCTCCAACTCTCATAACTCCTTTTATATTTGTTTCTTTCTCTGTTGAATACACTTTGCATGCGCCTAATACGCTCCTAATCACATATAAAAAGGAAGTAAAGATAGGCATTATAAACGTGGCAATGAAACCAGAGGAAACGAAGAGGATACTGAGAAGGGAAAGACACTGACCACTCTCTCCATTTCCTCCTCATACTCCTCTTGTAGTCGTTGTTTATATCTTCTTCTCCATGCTTCTTCTCTGTAGGTTCCCCAACCTGAACTACTTGCTCCCCTCTTCCATGATTGATTTGACTGGGACTTGTTCAGCTTTTGAATAGAAAAGAGAAAAAAAATCAGATTATAAATTAAGAACACTAGAATGTGACTGATAAAATTAGAACCTTAATTACAAGTAATATATTGTGTAAGCTTTTTCAAAAAATAAGAAAACAAAGAACATAAATGTCGACACTCTATCAGCTATGAGAACAGGATTGAAAATCTAGAAGTCGGTCAGCGATGCCCCCAGATCAAGGACTAGTGTGGGGTCTTAGCACCAGCACCATATGTTCTGTGTTCATTGTAACCCATTTCACTACACAACCTGCAAATATTTTTTTATAACAAATACTGTAATGTTATTCCAAGGAAACTATTATTTTGGGCACTAATATCTGTGGGGAACTGTGAAAGAAGTGTCTGAAGATAGCATTGATCAAAAGCAAAGCATACCGGTTGTGATTTCAAAGTGATAAAGAAAATAAATGAGGTGCCCATTAAGTTAAGTTGCCAATGGAATCAACAATTATAAGGACAGACGTAAAGACGGGGGAGAACAAATTTTCCAACACAACTAGACTTCTAAATTAGGATGGTCAAAATGGAGAGCCAACTCAAGGTTGTTGTGCAATAATAATCGATACAATTATAAGGACAGACGTAAATGCGGAATTTTCTGCAGCATATCGGTGCCCAAGGAACTTTTCTACGTCAAAATCGATTCATCAGTCAAATTATTTATTAACTGGTCAGAAGTTCAGGCACAACCTTAAATATATCTAAACATATCATATAGAATGAATAGGGTAGATAGCATTGACAGCAACCTCTCCTCTAATAGGAGAGACTAATTCCTCTCATTTTGTCAGCTGACACACTGCCTTAAATTTTGACCTACTTCCTCCCATGTATCAAGAACACTTCTATCATGATTTGATAGAATTGAAGACGTGTTGATATTTTAATGTCATGCCTTGTCAACTCTCCTTAAGTGCCTCCAATATTATTAAAACATGTTACATTATGAATACAGCACTAATTCACTGTACCTCTGTGTAGAACCACTCTCCAGTCCTGCGCAACTGACAGACCTGCTAGTTTGATCAACAGATCAGATACATATGCATTTAAGAGCAACTGAAAGGCTAAAAGCATTTTGTTTTTCCCCAGTTTAAATTTCCTTTCTTTTTTTTCAACCATTCTTTGAGAAGGGATGCAATATGAAATCCAGTCATTTATGTGGAGGTTTACTCGGGGTAGAAGAGGGAGAAATGATCAACCATTTCTAGTTTACAAAAGCTATTGAAGTAGATATGACTATTAGGGTTCTTCAACTATTTAAGACTAGAAATATAACAATCTTAACAAAAAGAGGGTCAAGAGATTATTGATTCATGATCAGCTTCAATAATGAAGTGGTAGTGAAAGAATTTTAGACCCAACATGATCTACTACAAAAATCAGAATTTTTTCTTCGTGTATGATGTAGTACGTCAAGAAGGATATTTTTAAACAAAATTTGGTCTCGCATTTTTTAGAAGTCCTCTGACTGGTGTCTTAAATCTGGAATTGGTTGAGTTTTTACAAGGTTTGAATCAGGTTTCACTATAATGAGGAAGGCAGGAGGATTTGTTTTGGTCGGGTAACTGTGCATCAAAATCAACTCGGGAAAATTCACTTCCCACCAAACGTGAAAGTCTTAATTGGAGGATGGTTAAGAAAAAAATTGAACTGTACAGATATTTTAGATAGAAGGTTATTCGCATTGATAAATCTCGTGTGTGGGAATGAGCCAGAAGCAAGAAACCATTTTCTTCTGAAGTGTCTGATTTGTGAAGGCTATTTGACAGTCTTTGAAACATAAGCTTAGATTATTAATATATGGGAAGAGCCGGATCAAGTATGGACATATAGGGCATTGGGATGCATGGAGAAAACATGCTGTACCAAGAAATGCTTATGTAAGTGCTCATGTTGTAGTCTGGTTGAGCAACGAAGAAACGGACAACAGAACTTTGTTAATAAAAAATTGAAAGTTCGTTCTTATTAGATGTTAATAATCCTTTCATCACTTTTTTGCTAGAAAACCTAACTGGAAAAAAGAGGAAGACCTTCGAAGCTGTTATAGGTCTTAGCAGAGTAGCTGGAAACAGGCCTTTGGCTGATTTGATCACTAGGTGCGATAGAAATACAGACGCTCATTCGTAACATGATGAGACTGATAAAACTGACTCTGGATCAGAATCTGCAAATGGAACTACCGGTCACTCAGGGTTTATCAAAGACAAAGGCTGGAAACAGGGATTGAGTGATAAAATCAATGTAAATAATGAGCAGAGGGGTTTGCTAGTGCTCTGCAAAAGGGGGAGTTGGCGAAATGACTAATCCCCACTTTAAAGTATTGTGGAACTTCCAACTTCCCCCATAAAGTATCAATTTATGTATTATCAATTTATGTATTATCATCCTTATACTATGTATATGTGTCCAATGCCGCCACTTTGTTAGCCCATAGTCCGATGTTTAATAGATTGATGATGTGATAATAGTTATTAAGCATTTCTTCCGCTTTTACAACTTCGAAAATGATTTTCCAGTTCTAAAAAAGGATAAAGGATAAAAAGCTTTGGACGAAAGTAGTTGGGGAACTTTTATGCCTGGAAACTCACGAAGAAATGCAAAAAGTGCGATCACGCTAAGCTCATGCACATAGTACAAGGAGTATAATAGGTAAATTGATACTTCTTGGGTCAGGGGGGGTTAAGAGTTCATCAATACTTTAAACATTATGTTTACTTTAGAGGGTTGGTTTACAACGGATGTGTATGATTTTCCTTTTAGGGGCTGTTTGGTTGGCAAAAATAATATGATGAAATAGGTTTCCAGCTCTGACACGGTGACAGTAAGAAATCTAGGTCCAATCAGATTTTCTAATCTTCAGTTTGGTTCAACCTAAAATTTAAAGAAAATTTTTAGAGAAATCACCTGCCAGCTCAGAAAAACGAAAAACCCCATTTCCTAGGTATAAGGTAGGAATTGGGACGAAGGAGAACTAGATTATCAATATTTTTTGCTAGCTCAACCGCGGGAATGATCTGGGAAACGAGAACAAAAGGGTCATTGTTATTATCACCGCCTTATCTCTCTCCTTTCCTCTTCATTTTCTTTTTCGGCCTCTCTCCTTCGATCCTTCCACCGCCTCTCTCCGCCAAAAAAAACCGAGGGAAAATATTGATATCGATCCCTTTGTCGATCCTACCCGATATCGATCCCTCTTCTACTGTCAATATTTTCTTACTACTTCAATAGAAACCCAAGCTTTGTTTGGGCTAAATAATTGGCTATTTCATCGATAAAACATCTTCAAATCTGGGTTATTTAGTTCGGCGGTCTTCTATTTGGGTTATTTTAGAGGTCGATTCGTTGCTTTGCCTTCTTGATTGCTTAATCTCTCTAAGATCTAACTGATTTGGGGTTAATCCATCTGGAAAACTTCACCAAGCTACATTCAAAAATCTCTGAAAGTAATTTTCTTAATACTTTTGTTTTTTCTTTTTCTTTTTCTTTCTTTATTTTTTAATAGTAAGTTTTTACATTCACATGCAAAAGCTACTTCTTTTTTATAACCACAATTGTTATTTGCAATGAAAAACGTCTTCTTTTTTAAATTCCCAAAATGGACCAACAGAGGGAACATGCATTATTTTGTTTACTAAATTTTTAATTATTCTGCAATTCATGTAAAAATTATTGCTTTTAATGTATTAGAATGTAGCAATATTACTTTCTCAGGTATGTGTGAATTTCCTTTTGTAAATTGTTGCTAATAGTGACTAGTTCTTGAGATTTTAAACTGTTGCCATATTATTTGTGTATAGAATTTTTTTTCCCTATTCATTTGTGTAGAATTTAACATCTCTTCAAATTTTGTGTATAGAATTTAATGTATAGAATTTTTTTCCTTTTATTCGTGTACTTGTTGCTTCCCTCTAATTTCACCTAAGATCTTGCCATCATGTGTTAATTACCATATTAATTGATGATGATCCATCATCTATGTTTTGTTTAAGTCAACTTCATGAATCCAATCTCTCTAGTGAAAATGAGGTGTATATCTTGATAAAACAGAGTGCTTGTTCTTTGATAGCGTTGTTCTAAGTTTTTACCGATTGTCTTGTTACCATTGTCCATTGTAGTTTTTCTGTTTGAGTTCGCCATGCCTAGAGAGTGTTAATTTCAACACGAGTCATACCTAAGACCCATAATATAAAGGAAATATTTTTCATGAGTTTAATTTGTGCTCATTTGAGATTTTCAGAGTGTCAATGGGACAGGTACAATTTTATTTTTTACATTAATCAATGTTGATGCACTACTTAACTGTACCTTAACATGCTTGAGTTATATGTGAACATGTGTATGAAAATTAGGCTATAAATTTGAATATCTTATCTAATAATCATGGTTCGTTGTTGCAGGATCCTCTAACAAAAGCAACAAATATTAGATTTTTTACCTATCGACATGAGTCGTTGCTATGATGTTTGGCCAATTTCAAAGGATAGCAACCTACATTTAGACCTCATGTACTGGTATGGTTATCGTTGTACATTGTTGGTTATTTTCTGAGCACTCACTAGATTTTAGAAATTTTAACGATTGCCAATATATTTGTTTTCCTTATATAGCATGACGCTTTCATGCATTCATACTACCTGAGTCATCAAGCAATAGTGATAATGAAAAATATTAAGATATGCAACCTGCATTAAAACTCATGTATGTCGTAGATGTGCATCATGCTTTTGATCAATATTTATGATTTAGCAACCTACATGAACTCTCATGTATTGGCATGGCTATCTATAATGATATTGATCAAGCTCTTACGCATCAAGCACTACATGGGCACTTATGTATTGGATGGCTGTCACTTATGATTATCTTCAAGTTCTGAGCTTACATATGTGTATGATGATTTTAATTAAATCATTCTTATAAGTTAGAAACTGAATCATATTTATCATTCTTTTTACTATTATTTTTTATAATAATGATGATTTTGAGCTATGATGCCAAGAGAATGTCTACAATAGCTTTCATTTTGTTTCCTTTGACTTTTTCATTGTCATGGTATTTTGACCTAAAAAATGATGTTTTTGAATGAGGATTTCTAATGGAGGCTTTTTTTTAAAATCTGAGCGTTCAAATATTACACTCCAAGGCTTGTTCTTTTAAATTTTATTTTATTTTGAGGCATGTATAAGGATATTTATTGTATTATGCAACCTAGACATTCATAATTTGATGAACATTTGAGGCATTTTCAATGACATGGTACATATCTCCGCCTCCCTTTCTCTATATAGCTGGTAGTTGATAATACTGAAAGCCATCGGCTCATGCTTTCTTACCTTATAGTTTTTTTCATGTGGTTAGTTTGACAGGGGAGGACCTCTAGCTTTTCAATTTTAAACAGCGATTTTGACTTAAGGTTGAGGTATTGACTTTTACTTATCTCATGGCTCTCTTTTCCCCTCAAATATCTGCAATTATGTTCTGTTGAGATGCTCGGTTGTAGGTACATAAAGGGAGGAAGAATATGAGTTTTGTTGATTAGCTAGTGGAAACTATTGGCATTGAAATAGCTTGTTTATTGCCTTTGATAGACATTGCGGTTTCCTTCTGATTTGAAGAGGATGAGCGATTTGTGTTTTTTGCTTTGGATGGATTAGGTTTTGGATTTTATTATGTATATGTGATTTCTGTTGCCCAGAGTTGGAGTTATTGCATTTTGGCTGGAATGGGGTTGTTGAGTTTTTGAAATTTGAAATTTGAGCAGAGGTTGAGGTTTTGAATTTTATTATGTGCATGTCAATTTGGTTTTTAAAGCTTTGATGGGGAATTTTTTATAGCAGCTCTAAAGAGTTGTTAGAATTTGGTTATTGAAATTAGTATGAAGTTTTATTATGTGCATGTCTCTTTTTTATGGTAATCTCACCATTGTGAGCACATCTAGTTTTTCTTATTGTGTACTTCTTCCATCCAAACCGGATAAAATGAGAAGTGATATTTCCTATTCTTAGTTTCTTTTTTTTTTTTTTGTGAAACAAACAATGGATATGTGAGGTAATCTATTTTCAACCCTATTTTATGATGAACCAAATAAATTTTAAGAAACCTTTAAAAACACATGAAAAGCAATATCTGTGCTTGGAAATGAGTTTCCTATAATCAGGGAAACCAACCAAATAGCCCCTTATTTTTATCCTGGGCTGGGTGCGTCGGGGGTGGGGAGGGTAGGGTTAGGAGCTTTACTTTTTGATGGTGTACATAAATTCATAGAAGAACAATTTTTCTAAACAGACCCATTTCAAAAAAAAAAAAATTAAAACCGACTCTTTTTTTTATTTACCAAAACCGACCCGATTTTGTGATTAGCAGACTAATCACATTCCTAAATAGTCGGGGTTGACAACCCCAACTATTTAGGACATTAATTTTTAGGGTTTAAGGCTTCTAATTAGGGTTTAACACCGTCCTAAATAGTCGGGGTTGGCAACCCTGACTGTTTAGGATGGTGATTAGTCTGGTACACAAAATCGGGTCGGTTTTGGTAAATAAAAAAAAGAATCGGTTTTTAAAAAAAAAATTGAAATGGGTTGTTCAGAAAAATTGTTCTTCATAGAATGGATATTAACACTGTTTGGGTCAAAATCCACTAATCAAAAATATGGAATTTCAAGCCCTGGCAAGAGATCACAACACTATTGAAAGAGCAGGAGCCAGAGAAATTCATTCAAGAGCCCAATTCGGAAAATTTCCTTGAAAATAAAACCGACTAGAGTTACCCATACGTCATAACCAAAAATGGGGGAAATAATGTCACAACGAGCGCAAAAATAACCCCTAAAATTGAATCATCTATTTCCCGATGAAATGGAGTAAATTAATGGTCTACACGAAAATTTTCCGAAATTTTGAATTAAAAATCAAGAAAAGAAAAAGAGTACGGACCGCTAAGGTGGTGATGGTGGCGCCAATGATGCCAAAGAGGAGAACCCCCCACGCCTTCGCTACTATTTCTTCCTCTCTTGAACTTGGAGCTTGCTGCCGCCATGGATTATTAAAATTACTATTATTGTCACTATTATTATTATTATGGGAGCTCATCTTCTTCTTCCTTTAACAGACATGGGCATCTTTTAGTTTCCTGTTAGGTTTTTTTTTTTTTTTTTGGCCCTTTCCCCGGAAATAAAGAATTTGGTCCTTCTTTGATTTGATTCAGTCTCCTCACTAGAGTGTCTCCGTCTACAAGTTTTGATAATGAATTCCCAATTATCCAGCCCCTCTCGCCGAAATTGTTTTCGGCCTTTTAGAAAAAGCCCAATACGTCCCAATTGTACGATGGGCCAACCCGGAAAAACTAGGGGCAAACAAACACTTTTTACTGAAAATTGAATTTTTTTAGTGACACCCACGACAAACTGATCTTAATCGGTTTCAAATATATATTTTGTTAATGGGAATTTCATTATTATTAACCCACCTCGTTTGTAACAGGCCAACCCCGTGTGGATTCACAAAAGAAGTGCAATCAGAGCGGAGTTAAAATTTCGCAAGTCCAATTCTCGCCTCATGCAATTGTCCCTTAACCAGGGCCGGCCCTGAGGTTTGGGTTGCTCTAGCCCAATCCAATTTTGGTTGTCCTTTATATTAAAAATTTGGTACGAACAATAACGATAAAAATGAATACATATAATATCATTTAGCGTTCTATATTGGGCTCAAACTGATAATATTCTCTTGCAAAATCAATATTCATATAAGAAAAAATTACATTTGTGCTACAATTTAATTCAAAGAAAAACACTTCTCCTTGAATTTTTTGAAGCGGATTCTTCAATTAAGTCATCATACTCGAGTTTCTCCAAGTATTCGTTTTCAATTGATATCATTGTCAACCCATTCAATCAATCCTGTGACATGGTAGTGTGAAGATAACATATATGAAATCACAACAATCAACTAAACTGATGCCAGAACGAAGATTTAGCAATGTTATTATTATTAAAATAATCAAACAATTAATCTAGATAGCAATTCAATAATATGAATGTCATCAAATCAAAGTTAAATTGAGATTATAATTAAAACCAAAAAGAAATATATCATATTATCGTCCATCAGAATTTTCGAGTTTTAGATGACTAGAAGGGAGATGAACTTTTTAACAAGTAAACATTATTTCATCTTTCTATCTTTCAACTTTAATAAGCTTCTTTTAAACTTATAGAGACCGTGAGAAACTAGTCAGAAGGCATAACTGTGCCACCCAAATAGCTAAATCAAATCTAATTTTTAGTTTCAAAACAAAAACCTAGACGAAACCGCACAAACATCATAACCCCTAATTCAACAACTAATATTCAGCTAAAATTCAAAATCAGAAATCTTAATTTCATTGCAAAACATCAAAAACCCAAATTTCTGTCCAAAAAATCCCTAAAATTATTTATTAAAAAAAATTACCTGATTGTGTTTCTTTGATGGACCGATCGGCCGTCGGCGTCGATAAGTTGATTCAAATTCTCTCCGTCTTTTGGGTGACTGGATCGGACTGTTGGAGGATGAGTCAGCGGGGGTGGTCTGAATGATGGGAGCAGAGACGGGAAAGAGGAGTTGGAGGCTGACGGAATAGAGACGGCGGAATAGAGCCGTGTCTCCGTCGATTCAGATTCTCTTCGTTTTTTTTCTTTTTTTGTAAGCGGCGGAACAGAGACGAGAAGGAGGAGAGGAGGCTGACGGAAATAAAGGAGGAGTTGGGTAGGGCTTTGGGCGTACGTGAGGTTTTTTCCCCCACTAAAACCACCTTTCTTTAAAATAGGTGTGAAAATACAAGAATCATCTTTCAAGTTCGGTTTGTATAAAAACCGCTCTAAAGAGAATTCCGGTTACAGTCAACCGCCTGCACCTATTTTCTGATTAGATTTTGATTAAAATATTGTGAAAATACAAGAATCGCCTTTCGAATATTCTTTTGGATCCCATGTTGTCTGAAACTTGATTTGGTGAATTTCTTTTACCTAGTAGAAGGGCATTATCTAAGTTTTTTTTTTTTGGTTAAAAATATCTATAAAAGACCCAGGACTATTGTCATCAAGTAGGAGGAAATGACTCCCAAGTCTGGGTCTCACCAAAGTTGGTCTTGGCGAGGGTTAGCAAAGGATGCAACACCATGTTAGGTGTCACCCATAGTTTACATTCACCCGTCCATCAGGTCCCTGAAGCGGGCCCCACCGGATTCGACCGATGAGCAAAGACCATGGGAGGGGCTCCATGGCCCAATCCTGCTTAGCCACATGGGAGGCAGGATCGAGCCAAGTTGAACTTGAGGGCAGAATGTGGGTTCGATTGCATGCAGCAATGTTGGGAGCTCGCATCCAAGGATTAAGTCGTGGTCGGCTTCTTGCGGCGTTTGTCGACGGCCGTTTGCGCAGCAAGATCACATCTGGGGAAAGAAGAAGCTAAGCATTTGCATGTGGGCTTGTCTTAGTTTTTGGATGTTTCACTAACAAGAGTTTAACAAAACATTTTGATGAGCTTCCTGGATTTACAACAAAACCTCTATAATGATCCCAGGTATGAGATTAATTTTGGTAGATTAGTATTCAAAGTTTCCAAATTGGAAAGTCAGTAGTTAGACATATCAAAGAGTAATGCGTATTTTCAGAGAGAGAATCAATAGTGACCATTTTACAAATTTGAAGTACATGTTAAAAGAAATTTTAACCCAAAGGAAAATACTTAAGTGTACTTATTACTGTTTTAGTCCTCTACACAAAGAAGTGGGAGTTAATAAAAACTATACTAATTTCTCTTTACAAATCACAAGAAAGTATCTCTCTTTTTTGTGTAGTAGTACAACAGTAATATAAGTATACTTATCATTACTCTTAACCCAAAAGGTTATGTATAACATATTATGAATTACTCTAATATCTCCTAGAGCCGCAATAAGTGAAGAAAATGACCTCAAAGAAAATAGAGGAAAAAAACAAAGAGGGGATAAACAAAAACAAGAAATTTGACGGAGAGAAGAGAATGGAGCCAAAAATGAGAAGAAAAAGGTTAGAGGAAAAGAAGGAGCTATTTGCCCACTGAATTTTCTCCTCTACATATCAGGTAAATATTGACCTTAATCTTAACCATCAAATAAAAATTAACTGATAAAAATAATATAGCGATCTCTATGACAAAGACAAATGATAACTATCATTTAAATAAAACAATAACTGTGATAAAATAAAAGTAATGTCCCTCCACTATTTTTTATAGTGGAGAGAATCTGTATCCAGTAAGAGTTGTCAATTTAAGATTTGAAGTGAAAGGGACAACGTTAGATGATATTATATATTTAACAATTTAGATATTTGGGTAATTGGGCAACATCCCTATCTGTTTTAAATTCGTGGAGGGTGAGGTTTGAATCTAGGTTGCTCTAGTATCATCTTAAATTGAGTCCTACTAACCATTAGACCAAAACTTTCAAAGTTTATGGCAAGGCTTGAGAATTATAATTTTATATTCTAGCATGCCCTGTTGGGTTGAACACCCCTTTTTTAAGGCTGAAACCTGGACTCACTGGCGGTAACATTTTTTAAATCTGTATTAAATTTGTGGCCCGCATGATTTAAAACAGGATTGGCTCTGATACCATATGATAGTCCTCTAAGCAATATACCAAAACTCCAAAGTTTTACTAAGGGTCAAGCATTATAATTTTACTGATGGTCAAGTATTATAGTTTTATATTACTTCTAACATTGTCCCCGCAGGTTGAGCACCTATGGGTCGAAACCTAAACTCACGCAATGGTGTCAATTTTTAGAAAATTGACATTTTTGTGATAAGTACATAATCAACAAATCCTCATTTTTGTGAAAAGTAGATTATTTATTGTAGTGTCAAAAAATTAAAGTTTGATTGATTTCTTGTTTTAAATATTAGATTCGACCACTTAATATGAATCCCTTACAATCACTCATACTCTCTCTCGATTACAGAGGAAGAGAAGATTAATTTGACTTCTATTTCGTTTAAAAGTGGGTTCTTGATGGCGAAAGGATGCTTCTCTCGATGCTCAAGCCAAGATTGCTTCCCGTTGAAGGTCAGAATAAGATCACAAAAGCTTCTGATGGTGGCTTAGATAACGAAGATGCAAACACTAATCTCTCTTCACCCGATCGTCAAAAACTCCTCCAGAAGTATAAAGTCTCCTCTTTATAGCTGCTTGCGACTATTTATAGAGTTTTATCATGTAACCGACGTGCTAAAATTGTGGGTAGAGGGCGTAACTGCCTCCTCCAATTCAACCCATGTTGGTTAATGGGGCGTAACGTGTTGCTGAAGTTTAGCCCATGTGGCTGACTAAGTCTTCTGAGCCGTTACAGCTGGATCTTCTATGGATGACGAGCCTCGCTGCATTGCAAGGTTCGTCAGATCGGACAAGCCTTAATATACAACGATGTTCGTCTTATGAGGCAAGTCTGACGAGCTTCATCTTCACTGATGAACTTTGTCTTCATTGACGCGCTTCAAATCTTGTTTCCAACGACAAACTTTGTTGTTTGAGACGAGGTCCGTCATTGTAATGACTCTCGTCATGCTTGTTATGAGTTTCAACACTCCAAGGCCAAATGATTAGCTGATGATCTATGAAGATCCATAAGAGTGGAGGAGAGATAGGGTTTTTGACTAGCCTCTCAATCTCCTCTCCCTTTCATGTTGATCATGCCTATTTATAGGCTTAGGATCATTATAGAGTGAGTTAATGAGCTTTAACTCCCCTTATAATGAGGGAGTTAGTGGTCATTAACTCTCATTTAAATGAGTGAGTTAGTGACCATTAACTCTCCTTAAATAGGTGAGTTAGTGGTCATTAACTCTCTTTAAATGAGTGAGTTATTGGTCATTAACCCTCCTTAAATATAACCTCTGAAAATTATGATAGACGATGTTCGGCTATGCACGCGGTTCGTCAATAATGACAACAGCGAACTTCATCTTTAATGACGAACTTCGTTTCAGGACGAACTTTGTCTTCAATGATGAACTTCGTCTTCAATGACGAACTTCGTTTCTGGACGAACTTCGTTTTTGGGTGAACTTCATCTTCAATGGCGAACTTCGTTTCTGGGTGAACTTCATCTTCAATGATGAACTTCGTTTTTGGGTGAACTTCGTCTTCAATGACGAAGTTCGTCTTTTGAGGGGTGAGGTGTCGTTTGATGAGGTTCGTCTGCGGATGGACTTCATCTTCAATGATGTTCATCATCATAATGGGCTTCGTTGGCTGAGATGAGGTTTATTATGATGACGAGCCTTGTCATGCTTGTAACAAGGTTTAACCTTGCTTTATTCCTTAGTATTTTTTAGTGTCTACATTTACCAACAGGAAATAGAAAACCTTCTATATAAGAACATATCAATGAGAGAATAAACCCTAGACGAGTAAGCCAGTAGAAACTCTAGGCAGGTATGTAGGCTGTCTAAAAATCACAATAGATAGCTTATCCCCCATCAAACACCGATGATGGAAGTTACAATCTAACGACTTCCAGAAGGCTACAATTTGAAGACTTTCACGTAGATCGCTGAAGGTTACAATCTGACGACCTTCACGATAACCGATGAGAGCTCTAGTTCAACAACATCCACAATCAACATCGGGAGTTACAATCTGACGACTCTCATATTCTCAAGGAGACAAGACGAAGATTACAAGACAATGATCTTTGCAACGCTATGACAAAAGAGATTACTTGTTGATAATCTCTCCAAAGCAAGACGCGGAACTCATCACCGCGCTCTAAGACCAAAACGCGGAGGTCCTCCCCGTGTATCAACACCAAAACACGGAGGTCCTCCCTGTGTGTCAACAGTAAAACGCGAGTCCCTGTGTGTCAACAGTAAAACGCGAGGGTCGAACCCACGTTACAACATCAAAACGCTGGAGTCGGACACGCGTTACAATATCAAAACGCTGGAGTCGGACCCGCGTTACAACATTAAAATGCTAGGGTCGGACCTGCGTTTTTCAATGCCCAGCGGGTACCCAACTCCGCGTCTCCAGTCTAAAATACGGAGTTAGGATCCTGAACGCCAACGTGGGCGTTTGACTCGTTCAAACACGAGCTGAACGGTTACAGGAACCGTTTTTCCTCCACGATTTGAGGGGTTTCCGCCCCACTTAGGAGCGGATTAAGGGGGGGTTACACCCCTCTCAATCCCATTATGGAGAGAATTAAGGGGGGCGGTTACACCCCTTAATTCCCTATAAATATGGGTAAACTCAATGGAGTTCAGGCTGGCATTTTCGGATCTGGGACTTGGCAGCAAAGGGAGAGATCGGTATTCATCCTTTGGAGCATTCCTTGAAGCCTTCGGCCTTGGCTTGAGAACCGATTCTCGGTTCAAATCAACTCTTTTCAAGAGTTTCAAAATCGATCAGAGTTATCAACTCATCAAGAGTTTTAAACTTTCCACGCAAGTTCTCCACAACGTCAAATCGTGAGGAGAAGACATCGTTCCAGTGAATCAAGACGGTCGGATCGTCAACGGAGAGCAAACTCGACGCAAGTATTCGAGGGAGGCACTCCATCGCCACCGTGAAGAACCCAGTTTTAAACAAAGGGGGAGAACCAAATTCGTTCTCCTCTCTTTTGTAATCGGAATCCAAATTGTAATCGGTTTTGAGAGAATACAAGTCAATTTTTCTTTCATTTCTTTTACATCGGATTTTTCCACAAACAAGGTAAGCCAGTAGAAACACCCTAGGTGGGTAAGCCAGTAGAAATACCCTAGGTAAATAAGCCAATAGAAACCCTAGACGAGTATGCCAATAGAAACCCTAGGCGATCAGCTATTAGAAACCCTAGGTAAATCAACCAGTAGGTCGGTGAGGAAATGTTAAATATTTGTGCTTGAGTGATGAAATTGGCGCCCAATCTATAAAAGGCACAGACTGGATAGATCTTGGATTGATCTACAAAAGGAACGGACCAAAAAATTCTTGACAAAGACGGATTTGATGCGATGTTGCACATATATATAAATCTGATTATATAGATCTAATTAGGATCAGATCTAAAATTTTTGAAGGCAATCAGCGAAAGATGCAAATAGTTTTTGGTTGAGATTGTTGAAGTCAAGGTTGCTGAAGCCGCTGATGGGAAGGATGAAGTCATGCTTGCGGCGAAATCCCCTCAGCAGTCCCAAGCTCTTGAAAGAGCGGAGAAGCTTTTTAAGACCGAGATGTCGGCCCTGATACCATGTAGAGAAATACTGAAAGCAAAGTTATTATTTATCTAACTTTAACTTCTCTTATATAGAGACTATGAAGGTTACATAAACGAATATGAATATTGGCCTCATTTCCCAAATAGCTAAATAATTAAACATAAAATACCATCTAACAAATAGGTTTTCAGAAGAACATCCCCATGCTAACAAAAACAAAAGGTGTAAAAACAAAATAAAATAAAAATTGGTTTTGTGGGCTTGCTGCCAACATTTAGGAGTTGCTTACTTGCTTAGCAAAAGACAATGAGTAATAAACATAGGAATTTTCATGGAAAATACTAAGCAAGAGTCACTGATTTTGCTCACAAGCAATCAACAGAGGTTATCAAATTGGCTAAATTTATTTATTACCTTACCATTTCTATGAGGCCATGTACATGACAGGTTGACATTGTCATATTGACATTGATAGATCATGATTAATAATCTACAATGTCATCCACCAATCACATTCTTTCCTTAATCCCCACGCGTATGCACTTCATTCTTAAACTAGTAACTCTTCGGTTTTTACCCTTCGGGCCCTCATAAAACTGGACCAACCGCTGATTGTTCTATTTTCAAAATAACTCGGTTTGAGTAAAACTGGACTAACATTAACCTAGATTTTTCTGGACCAAAAAACCCTCATTGAAACCGACTCTTTTTTATCTAGACTAGACTAGATTCTTATTAGACCAGAAGAAAACTAGTTCTATCAAAACTTAGCCAATATCAATTTTGATCTAGTTTTAAGAGTGTTACCAAACTGTCCCTCAATACAAACTTAAAATCAATTTGAAAACCCACTACTGTCAAACTTAAAATCAAAGTGAGCTAACTTAATTTTGCTATGGAAGTGCATTTTTGAAATATATTCTAATTGTTATCCAATATGATACATCTTATCCAGATTTTGAATATCTTTGGTGTCTTTAAGTGAGCTCAAAGTATGCTTGGATCGATATTGATTGAGCTCGAGAAAGAGCCGAATTAGACGCAGATAGGATCCTTAACAGCTAGCAAAGATGCGGGTGAAGATGACTTTGTGTCTAGCTGGTTGTAATCCGTTAAACTTCAATTCAACTGTGCTGATAGGGATCCATTGTTGATTTTGGCCCGTCGGTGCAAATTTGTGGACTTAATTTGTTGGATTGAGACTGTAAATAATCCGAGTCTCAAATGTATTGAATTGGACCTTAGACGGATTCCAACGATGTCAGATGCTGCCTCGTCAAATTTGGAGGTAGCTAGAAGGGCTTTAATGCAATTCAAATTTCATCCGGATCGTCGTAAATAATGATCTCAGTATTACTTGATTTGCACTTGAACAATTCGATTCAGTACCAAATTTGTTAAAGACCATTTGATAAAATTTGCCAATTTTTCACAAATGACAAATTGTCCTTACGAGGAAAACGAAAGATCATGGCCGGTGGCGGTAAAGACGTCAAACAGGAAAATCTAAAATATCCAACTATTTACTAACACATAGACTGGATAACATGTAACTGAGACATGCATTGTAGGTTCATATTATTGTCACAATCATTAGCTTTGATGAAAGTTTAAAAAATAAAAATAAAAATCTATGTATTAAAATAGAATTTTACCATTTTATATAAAAGCACAAGTAAAAAAAGACTATTCTGCTATATCATAAACGATGACACATTATAAATTTTTCTGTAGTTATTAATCTTTTTATATACAACATTGATCCGTAGCAATAAATATGTACCCCAATGATTTTAACCGTTGTATACGAATTTTAAATTTTAATGATCCAAATACTAACATCATTTAGTGCAAATTAAATACTATAGACCCAGATGCCCTTTATACTTTTTCCCTTCATGATTGAGCTTTTCCCCCCTTTCACCACTGTGGTTTCAAATATTCTTATTAAATGCTAACATAGCTTTCTCTATTTGCATGTGTCAATCCTCTCGCACAGTCCCATGTTTGTCGGCGCAAATGAGTATTTTGTCTCCTAAATAGTCCTTTTCATGTATCTTGACAGCGCCAATTAAAAAACTCAATTAACTCTCTTATGTTGGTCAAAATAATTTTGTTATATCATTATTATTTTAATTAGATGATACTCTATATATACCACCAACTTCTCCTGCCTAAATCACCACCAAACCAAACCGAACTCTCTCATTCATTTTCTATCTTATTATCACTCCTGGTATCAAAAGCCATTACACATTTTGCTTTACCAAACATGTTATCAAGAAAAGCTACGTGCAACACTCATGGGCAGGACTCATCCTATTTCCTCGGTTGGCAAGAGTATGAAAAAAACCCATATCACCCAAATCTTAATCCTTCAGGAATTATTCAAATGGGTCTTGCAGAGAACCAGGTTAGCATTATTCTCCCCCTCTGCTTTGTTTCTGTCTATGTTTCTTATGAATAATCAACATTGTTCTAATTTTTTCCCCCCCTCTGTTTTTGTTGTAGCTCTCTTTTGATCTTCTCGAATCTTGGCTCGACCGCAATCCTGAGGCTGCCGAGTTGAAGAGGGACAACGGCACGTCTGTGTTCAAAGAGATGGCTCTGTTCCAGGATTATCACGGCCTGCCAGCTTTTAAAAATGTAAGCTCATTAATTTAACGAAGCTAGATTAGTTAGTTAAGTAGTTATTAATAGCTCATCAGCAATTATTGACTCGTGTAATTAGTAAAAAGCTTTTAGTGGTTCGCGTTCATTAGACAGTTGTGACCACTAGCTGAAAGCAGCAACTTCCTTGCTCTGTCCCCCGCATCTAGGCCAACTGAAAATATAAGATAACCCAGCTTGATTCTGCACAGCGAACTGAAAATATCCTAACGAACAAAGATTCTTGAACTCCGACTAAAATTGCGGCGTCACACATATTTTCAGGCATTAGCAGAGTTCATGTCTGAGTTGAGAGGCAACAAGGTCACGTTCGACCCGAACAGTTTGGTCCTCACCGCCGAGACTCTCATGTTCTGCCTTGCCGACGCAGGCGACGCTTTCCTCGTCCCAACCCCGTACTATCCAGGGTACTTTCTCATCACCTGCATCCATATCGATCTATTTCCTCGATCCGGTTAATAAATTTTCTCAACACTCTGTCCAGCTTTACTAAAAATAGTTTTTGCTTTTTATTTATAATTTCAGGTTTGATCGGGATCTCAAATGGCGAACCGGAGTCGAGATTGTCCCGATCCACTGCTTGAGCTCCAACGACTTCCGCATCACAGAAACCGCTCTGGAAGCCGCACACAAACTCGCCACGAAACGTCGACTACGAGTACGGGGCGTGTTAATAACCAACCCATCCAACCCGCTGGGCACGACCCTAACCCGACCTGAACTCGACATTGTCCTCGACTTCGTCGCGTCCAAAAACATCCATCTCGTCAGCGACGAGATCTACTCTGGCACCAACTTCGACTCTCCGTCCAGCTTCATCAGTGTCGCGGAGCTCTTGATGGGTAGACCCGAATTATCCGACAGCGTCCATATAGTCTACAGTCTCTCTAAAGACCTCGGCCTCCCTGGATTTCGCGTCGGTGCAGTCTATACAAATAATCAGTTAGTTGTGACAAAAATGTCAAGCTTCGGGCTCATGTCGTCGCAGACACAGTACTTGTTATCAGCGATGCTCGGCGACAAAGGGTTCACTAAAAAGTACATAGTCGAAAACAAGAGGAGGCTCAAGGAGAGACACCAGAAATTCGTTTACGGGCTTCAGGAGGCCGGTGTGGGCTGCTTGGAGAGCAATGCGGGCCTTTTCTGCTGGGTCGACATGAGACACCTGCTGAAGTCCAGCACTTTGGATGGAGAGAGGGAGTTATGGAAGAAGATTTTGTTCGATGTGGGACTAAATGTTAGCCCCGGATCGTCGTGCCACTGTGAGGAGCCGGGGTGGTTTAGGATGTGCTTTGCCAATATGAGCGAGGAGACGCTCCAGCTCGCAATGCGGAGG